CCGTCGTCGTCGTCGTCGTCGTCGTCGTCGTCGTCGTTGTGTCGATTCCGTCACGTAATCCGAATTACGTTTCGTGGATGATTAACAACGCGATAATTCGGATGGAGGGGTGAAGCCCGAGGCTGATATTCATCGATGGTCGATAATAGAATCAAAAGAGTGGAACATTTCCATCGGGAGAATTTTCTTTTTTTTGGAAGATAAAGTGCATTCGTAAGGGATGAAAAAAAAAAAATGAACGAATATGCGTCGACATCGACTACTTCGTTTCCCGTACCGTTTTTTAAATCGAAGTTTAATCGACCTAACGGGAAATGTTCGAGCCATAAAGAAACGCGTTAAAATATCGTGTCGAGGTGCGTTTTCCTTTGAACTTTAGAGCTGATCAAACGGTTTATCGGTTCGAAAATTACAATTTCGCAAATTATGCATCCCTTTCCTTTTCTATTTCCCCTATTAATTGTTACTGATTATAATTATAATACTTTTCTTTTTTTTTCGTCTCTTCGTGATTTTTCGTTCTTTTTTGGTTTTTTTTTTTCGTCTCTCTTCACTGACGTCAAAATATATATATATATACAGCTGATGCTCTCTCACGACCATTAAAAGGCGCGGCTGGAAAATAATTTCAAAGCAGATTACGACCCCGTACGCTCTTTACCGTTCGACTGGCTCGTATGAAATTAATCCCCGTAGCACGAGTATGGTCTGGCGCGTCTTTCGCGAAATTACAGACGTTGAAGAGGAGCGGTAGATTTTCAGTACAATAGTGTGTAATTAGTTGAGAGGCCCACGCTGAGGTTGCGCCTCGTTCGGCAACGGTTTTCTACGCTTTGAATATCATCGCTTGAAAATTTCGCCGCATCTCGTTCACCTTTACGAAGACGATTTCAATCGTGTTCACAATCGACCACAATTTTATCGTATTTTAGTTAATACAGTTAAAAAGATACGATAACGATACGCGTATCTCGTTCTAGATTCTCACCACGGAAATATCAAATTTATTTATTTATTCGAAAGGAACGTCATATTTAATTACAATGACGAATGTTATAAATATAATCTTACAATTATATTCGTATTTCGAATATTTCAATTTTCTTAGCTCACACGAATACGTATATCAAACGTAACGATGTCTCATTTTCTTGAACATTTCTACATTTTTCTTTGCTCATATGCTCGATAAAATTCGTATCAACGATAATAATCTCAAAAAAATCCTTAAGCCTTAAACGAAGAAAGAAAAAGTATCGATGGACCGTTTCAATCGGTTAATTGAACTCACCTGCACCCTAGCCTCGGACAAATCCAATCGCATCGCGAGCTCTTCCCTGGTGAACACATCTGGATACTGAGTGTTCCCGAACGCCTTCTCGAGCTCGTGCAGCTGGTACGTGGTGAACGTGGTACGGGATCTTCGAACCTTGCGCGGCCGATCCGATTCTCCCAGATTCAATCGATCCGACTCGCCCAGGTTCAAAGGATCGTGAAGGGAATCGTTCATTTGATGGTCGCTCAGGTGACCGAGTTCCGTGTCCCCGGCATCACCGATCGCATCGGACGACGTCGCGTGATCTGAGAACAACAAAGAAGTGTAATTCTCGAATTCAGTCGATTCGAATCGATTCGAGTGTTTTTCTTCCCCCTTCCCTTTTCCATCAATCATTTCCATTCGTCACCATTATCAAAAATCGTTAACCATCGTCCATTTTCGAGAGATCGAGTTCGAAAATCGAATAGGAAGAGTAAAGAAGGCGTCGATCGAGACGACATACGAAACGACGGTGTTAACGATGTACCGTTACCGATATCGATGTCCTCGATGTATCGCCGACGCACGTAGCACGCGACGAACGTAGAACGCGTAGGACGGCGGAAAACAGGAACGGAACGGATGGTGTTAAAAGGCTGGGGACGCGTATCGAAGCTCGAATAGAATACGCGTATCAAACGATCGCGTGGACCTTCGATACTTGAACGAAAGAGAGGATCGGGGCGATTAAGCTAAATCGTCCGCGCTGCCAAAACGANCTGGGGCGGGGGAAGGGTTGGAGATGCTGCGGGGTCGGTGTGGGTGCAATTTCATTTTTAAGCCGTGCAACGACTGGCGCCGATATACGCCCGATATACGGCGATCATGTCCGATCGGCGGATTTGCCAATTTTAAGCCTCACCCGGCGCTTCATTTTTTTGTACATCCGCCTATATACGAAATATAACGCATCGATGCGAGTCTATACATTATACGTACATACGGTCAATAGTACTTAAAAACCGTTGCCAGTCAGTGATTAGCAAATATCACGAGTGCATGTACGTACATCGTGTGCCTCCACCTCCCTTCTGTGTGTGTGTGTGTGTGTGTGTATGTCACGATGCAACCTACCCTTGCACCTAGCCAACCTTGCACACGCTCTCGTTTCTCCAACCCTTCCTTCTTTCTCCCGCCAACTTTTATTGCCTCTTTTATTGAACCCCCCCTACCCTCCTCCCCCCCTTTTTTTTGACGCTCCCTCTTTCTATTTTTCTTTGTATCCGCTTCGTCTCGTATTTCCTATATGAATATCGACATCGGGCCGAGTTTAAACGGCTCATTAGAGTAAACTGCGCGTGCAAAATACAGTGCAGTGTTCTTTTTTTTTAATCTGCAACTTCGAAACGATTCTTATAAATACGGTTTAGAAGCACGTGTTGATAATACTACTGGTCGACTCGCGAGAAAGGAGGGATTACCGATAAGATGCGAAGGAATGCGATCGAAGGAAATTACGTATCTCGTAATCGACTGTTTACACGTGGACTCTCGTCACTCGTCTAAAATCGTGAGATCTCTTCGACGAAGAGGAAGGAGGAATTTATCGAGTGAAAATTTCACAAATTCGCTCGTACATCGTCGAATCTAAAATCTTTCTTCCGCTCTGCTGTGAGTAATATTTTGATATATCGTTCGTTCGATAGGAACTATTCGTCTAATTTGATTAATCTCACATTATCGTCTAATTAGTTTTGGGGACGCTTTTGATCTCGCCAACAGAGATCTATATCGGCCACGATGCCGACTTCGACGGAAGTTTCAATATCGGTTCTCTCGTATCCCGCGCACGATTCCCCATCATCCTCTTACACACGTTTGCTTGAACTAATTAGACACGCATCCACTACTCGTGCGTAATAACGTTAATCCTACTTTTCGGTGCCGCTTTAACCGGCAGTTGTGATAAATTGCGAATGAAGCGAATCATTAGAATTGGCACGCATGCCGGCTGCGTTCATAGACGGAGTAAGAGAAAGACGGGATACGTGCGTGTACGTGTGCACGTAATCGCACTAACATTTACGCAAACAACGTACGGATAATCCGCGATGAATAGAGAGATTTTTATGTTTTCATGCTAGGGCACAATGGGGCACCCACTTGATGCCTAACTCTCCGCTGCTTTTTATTAAATCTACGACCCACCGATAGGGGTTGCGCCGGGGAGGGTGGCCCGGAAAGGCAATTCGCGGCGCGAAATTAAAGATTTATTTACCGTGCCCGATGACCACATGTCTCGAAGCTTGCTTGCCCGAACGACACGAGACGCTAATTTCTCTTCTTTGATTGAAATTATTTTTAAACTCTCCTGGCGGTATGGCACATTTTTGACTTTTTATTTGGAAATTTTTCCTTTCTCTTTGCGTGATGTAAGAGTGTTGACCCTATCGATGATGATTACAGCGTACGTGAAAAATCTTGGAACATTTATCATCCATATTATTTATTGCCTTGCGTTTGAAAATCGAAGGAGATCGAATCGATCGTTAACAGACGTTAATTAACAGACGGTGGATATTTTGTACGATTAAAGAATGTCGAAGACACAGAGAAACATATAATATAAATTCTTCGCGAATCTTCGCGACGAAAAAATGATTTAACAGGCTTAACTTAGAGAAGGGAAGAAAGAAGAAGATGGCGCGGATCGCGAAGAAAAGAAGATTCATACGAACGAGCACAATTTTAAGAAACAAAATATCTCGATCGATATCCATTCGTTCGATAATTTCTCTAGACACTGGCGATCGACGAGGAATCGAATGCGTCTATCTGTAAGCGAAACCGTATCAATGGACACTCGATGCACGGCTATCGTCAGACGCATTAATTATGTTAGACGATTGTACGATCGAAATCCGCAAACACATCCTGATTTCTGCACGCCACAATCGGGACGGGCCAATAATCGGTCCACCTGTATACAGTGATCATCCGACTATACGTGTGTGTATGTGTGTATCCATATGCGTATCACGGAACTCGCATAAGCAAATAACCAAATTCGCCGAGCTATGTATGAAAATTCGATCGAAGTAGTGGTAACTGTGTTAATTAACAAGGTGAGGTAGGTGAGGAAACGAAACGAAGAATCGTATTTATAAATGGCTTGGTAAGTTTCCTTTGTTTCCTGTATTCGCTACACGGTACAACGAGTTCTTCCTGGACAAGATATATATCGGTGGAACGGATTACACAAGGTCCGGCTTTACGTTGAAAATCTAATAAAATCCTTAAGAGGGTTTACGGGTAATACGTTCACCGCTAAACTGGTCCGGATAATCCTTTACGGAGCAAAAAACTGGCGTATCCAACGAGTATCTTGGTGGAAATTTAATAAGTGTAGCTTTACGCGGGTTGATTAATCTTTTATGGCGTATCAGAGTATGAAGTATCGAGGTATCTGAAACAGCGGCTAT